TAAATTGTTTTTGATGGAAATTTTTATACATATCCAGTTTTACAACCAAACAGTTCTGGAAATGTATATAACGAGCTGAAATTATTTTTAATCTTGAAATACAACTTTTTATAATTGTATCAATTGATCTCATATATATTTTAAAAATAATTTAGTTACTATTCTTATTCACATGTAATTTATATACTATTATTATTCACGTAACGTTAAGTTGTGATTTTATTTAGATCTTTGACCTTTTCTATTGTAAAGTCCGACGGATTTCATGCGTCGCTCTGAGAATTTCGCTCTCAATCCCGTGCGTCTCGATCGAGAGGTTAAGCTTACGCTGCCTGATCTTATCGTAATTTGCGGCCCCTGTTATGTCAATAAACGGCTGAACACGCGTCCGGCATTATCTAAGCGTGACTCCATCTACGTTTTTTTTCTCTACGTCTCACCCACCGCTTTTCTTCCCAGTGTATCATCTAGCAATGAACCTCGCGCTTAACATAACAACCCCAGTGTTACGTAGAGCTGCCAGACCTTATCTCCCTACTCATAATCGTCACAAAAGGCGTCAACACGATGCAGACATTAATTAAATAAGCATGCGAGCATTAGATAATCTCCCGAGAGAAAAAAAATTGAACAATACTGCCTCTCCGAAGAATGTCTCGCGATTATATCATCACTTATCGCGTATCGAGTATAGTAAATGATTCTATGATAACAATAAGCAAATATTTCTATATTACGTAAGAATTTGTACATTGAATAATCTAACTAAATTACAAAAAAAAAAGAAAAATACATACGTCAAAAATGTTTTTTTAAATACTTTTCTACTCAAATCCTTTTTTAATATTATTTTTATCACAATTTATATGTGTATATATAAACAATAATAAATTGGAAGAAGAAAGCCATTTACGGTCAAAGCTGGATCACAGTGCTTATTATAATTGTGTGAATTTTATATACTGCGTATGTAGTCCCCCCATAAAATATTCTAGTTTGTTAAATCACGTCTAGCCTGAAAAAAAGACGTTATTCTCCTACTTCAGATAAATATTGCGAAGAATATTACTACGTCGACTCGCCATCAGAGGTCTATAGATGTTCGCAACAATTCTCGCAAGTGCTGAGATACGCGTATATCTGTATATATAGAATCTAGATTAATATCTTAAACAGGCGTCTAAGGTAGGTTTCCATTACAATACCTTACTGATGAGTCCAGTAGTGGAAACCGGGACGAAACGCCAACTCGTGATATTCTTCGCAATCTTATTTTTCACAGATTTAGATTTAGATTTATCTTTACTTCAACGTTACATCGTTAAAATTTAATATATATCTTTCAACATATTATTAAGATCCAACAAGATGCTATAAGCATCAAAAATTGTTAGATTGCTCGTCAATTTAACTAAGTGATATTACAGGGGTGCGTTCAGAATCGTCGTCCGGATGCACCCAGATGTTGTTTTATCCTTGTTGTTCACGAATGATAAACAAGGATAACACGACACCTGGGTGCACTCAGATGATGATTCTGAACGCAGCCCTGCGGTAGTAAGTATGTATAATGCGTCAATGCTGAAAAACTATCAGCGTCGCGATTTATGGGGGGACTACATACGCAGTATATAAAATTCACACAATTATAATAAGCACTGTGATCCAGCTTTGACCGTAAATGGCTTTCTTCTTCCAATTTATTATTGTTTATCAATTGTACGGTCTTAAAAAATATTCTAGTTTGTGTATATATAAATTTATATATACACACACAACAACACGAAATACACAAAACATCACAAGATATAAAACACAAAACATTATAAAATTATTTACTCTAAAATTTTAATATTCTAGATTAAAATTAATTTTTATAGTGTATCAAATTTTTTTGGCTTTTTAAAATAGGATTTACTAAAGTATATTATTTTTATTCTGTGTGTGTGTGTGTGTGTGTGTGTGTGTGTGTGTGTGTGTGTTGTATGATACTCCTGGATTACATTTTGTATATAAAAATGAGAAAAGCTTCTAACAGTCATCACAGTCATGTTCAAATATGACGTCAGAAACGAGAAATGACATTAATTGTTGTTACGTGCTAATTGCAAATAAAAACAATTTTGATAAAACAAAGTGATGAGATTATTTTCATACATTTGTAAAAATAGACAAAATCTATGCTTATCCTCTTTTGACAGTAAGTCAAATAAAAAGTGATAAAAGGTACAGGAAGTGTTTTTATTCATTGCGCATGCGTAGCCTATTTTCACTTACACGTGACTTTTGTCACCTATTTACTGACTGTCAACAGGGACAAACATAATTTTCGTTAAGTTTTATAAATACTTTAAAGTGATATCATTATTCCATGTTATCCAAATTTATTTACAAATGGTATTAAAAATAAACGTGTCATTTCTCGCCTTTAATCTTTACGATTTATGGTTGTGGTAAATACTTCAGACCTTAAAGAGTGGGATGAATAATGTTTCCGTAATTTTGGGACAAAAGAACAACACATGTTGTGGAATGAACACTTGTTGATTTCGAGGAAAAAATAGGACTAGCGAAGGGTCACAGTGCCCTTTTCAAACAATATTACGAATGAACATGTGAATTCTATTTTTCATTATTACGTAAAAAGTACCATTTAAATAAGATTTCTTATTTTAACAAATAACAAGTGCGAATACGGATCTAGAAACTTGAAAGTTCTATATAAATAGAATAGATTACCATATTTATCTTCTTTTTTTCCCCGCCTGGGATTGTTCTTTTACATAATGCTCAGAAAAGTATAAAGACATTTTTCAAAAGTCCTAAATTATTACTGTTATAATCATCTCGGACATTTATAAAAAAAAGAATGTCTCCACAATCCCTAAAAGAGATACTAAAGAAAAAAAAGACGTTCGAGGAAATAAAAGATGGCAATCCTAATTACAACAATGCCGTTGTAATGTAATGACTAGTATATATTAATGAAAACGATTATATATAATTTGTTAATGTAATTAATTATAATTCTTGATACACAAAAGAAAACTTAAAGTAGACTCTCAAAAATTTCAAATAACAAGAATATAAAGGCTAATGAGAGTTATTCGCTGTTATTAGTGCGATCATATATAAGATATGATAAAGTGTGAATTTTATATACCACGTATGTGGTATATAAAACGCGTGCCGAAAATTCTTCAGACTTACAACGCAACTCTAATTAACTACCGTGGTAATATCACAAATTTTTTTTTTTATGCTTATAGCATCTTATTGGATCTTAATAATATGTTGAAAGATATATTAAAATTTTAAAGATGTAATGTTAAATTAACGATACATTAAAATCTGTGAAAAATAAGATTGCGAAGAATATCACAAGTTAGCGTTTCGTCCCGGCTCACAGTAGCAATCGAAGATAGTTTGAACATCAAAAATCGCTGCCACGTCAATTCTAAACCGATTGTAACAAATTTTTTTTTTAAATTCGCAGAAAGGATCGTACTTTTTAAATCCACTGCCAAAAATTGAAGTTTCATAAATAGAAGTACGGTAGGAGGCGCGGCAGTGACGCAAAGAATGTTGAGAACTGGACATTGTTATTAAATTGGTTTATACTAGGAAGAAAGTACTTTTTTCCTAAACCAGCACTTATTTTTTTACAGGTTATCAATTTCATCAATGTGCTGAAGAATGTCGAGTATGAAAACTTAGGCTTGACGCTCTATAAACCGTAAAATCGTATGCAGAAAAGTTCTGCGCTGTGTTTCATAGAATACTGCAAGTACTCAGTATGGAATGACTTGAGAATTATATATATCTATATATATATATATAAATACTTTATAAATATATAATTGCTAAATGTATAATAACCTATATGAAAAACAGATAAATCGTCGAATTTACAAGTTTTATGAGCGTATTTAGAAATCGTTTAAAATTCATGGAAAAGTAAATGGTTAAAAACGATTTTACACTACGTTTATTATCAGTACTTTCTTCCTAGTATAAACCAATTTAATAACAATGTCCAGTTCTCAACATTCTTTGCGTCACTGCCGCGCCTCCTACCGTACTTTTATTTATGAAACTTCAATTTTTGGCAGTGGATTTAAAAAGTACGATCCTTTCTGCGAATTTTAAAAAAAGTTCGTTACAATCGGTTTAGAATTGACGTGGCAGCGATTTTTGATGTTCAAACTATCTTCGATTGCTACTGTGCGGCTTCTCACTACTAGACTCATCAGTAAGATAATGTAGTGAGAGCCTACCTTAGACGCCTGGGGGAGATGTTAGAAAGAAGTTCTATATAAACAGATACTCATGTATTTCGGCATTTGCGAGAATTGGCATGAGTAATTATAGACCTCTGATGGCTAGTCGACGTAGTGATATTCTTATCGTTAATTTAACATTACATCTTTAAAATTTTAATATGTCTTTCAACATATTATTAAGATCCAATAAGATGCTATAAGCATAAAAAAAAATTTGTGATATTACCACGGTAGTTAATTAGAGTTGCGTTGTAAGTCTGAAGAATTTTCGGCACGCGTTTTAGGAGACTACATACGTAGTATATAAAATTCACACTTTATCATATCTCTCTCTCTCTCTCTCTCTCTCTTATATATGATCGCACTAATAACAGCAAATAGCTCTCATTAGCCTTTATATTCTTGTTATTTGAAAACTTAAAGTGATTGGCAGGAAAATGATAATCAGACGTAGTTGCATAGTAGGATGCATTTAAATCTATTATTAAGTACAATTAATTATTACTAAATTTTATTTATTAACTTACTACTTGATTTATTTTGAAATTCCAGAATTCTGAGAAAAATATTTGTACAAAAGGAAAATCGAATTAAGTAGGTGTCCATGTAGTAACTATCCGCGCGTATTTAAATATATTTGCAATTTAACTGTTCTATGTATAATTTTTAACATTCTCAAAGATTGATATATAGAATTTATTTATACAAGAAACTCACGTTCTCGTTTGTGGCGTACGATCACGCTGTCGACGATTCTTGAACCAATTGGACACCTGAGTCAGCGTCAGGCCAGTTTTCTTCGCAAGGTTCTTCTTCTCGTCCGGCGTAGGATATCGGTTCCTCATATAACACTCTTTCAAAGCGTTCCTCGATCGCTCTTTGAAGCAATACACGGTCTCCTCGCCGTCCCAGATCGTCTTTGGTAGTGGATACTTCTTGCGCAGCCGATACTTGTCCACGGCACCCAATGGTCGACCGCGAACTTTCTCAGCTTCGCGATAATGCGACTTAAACCACATCTGTTGGAGTTCGGGATGTCGACGCGGCGAGAAAGGGTGGCTCTCCAGGATTGAGTAAAGCTCGTGATAGGCTCCGCGGTGAAAGGCAACAGCGGCACGCGCCATTAGCACACTCTCGCCTCCGCGCAACAGTTCTCCAGGCGGTAAGGACCAAAGAAAGCTGGTATTAACGTAGCTTTTAAGTAGATTTTATATATACACAAACAATTTTGTATAGTTTTAGAATTTTCTGATACAGAAAAACAGAATTTTTGAAAAATCTTACGCACATAATTTTTGAATAAATAAACAAAGAATACGTATAATGAATTAAAGCACGCTCTCTTTGAATTACCTGGATAGTTTCTCAATGTCTTGGCTTTGCGACAGTGCCTCGCACATGCAAGATATCTGTTCAGGTGTGAAATTACTGCTGCTTATGGGAAGACTGCTGATATTTTTGATGTTAGTATTTAGTGCGTTAATATTTAGTACGCTGGCAGAGTTGCAGGTGGAAATCTCCTGCGAATACTGAGGACTGCCATTCGATGTCGGCGTTAAATTTTGGGAATGATGAGTTAACCCGAGACCGGACATTGACGATGTGTTGCTGTATTGCGTGGTTGCATTGCGATGCACGACGCCTATTTGACTGTTGCAGTCGCTGTTCGGTGATGACAGCTGATCTGAACTGTCCGACATCCTTGGCTGGTGGCTGAGTGCCTCTCATGAATCCAGGTGTCGGACAGCAAACAGAATTCCGTGCTCATTCGCCGATCCTAAGCGCGAAACATTTTCGAAGGCACAAATTTTTTCGCGATTCTTTATTAAAGTTAATTCAAAGCAAAGATCAAGTATCTTGAATTACAAACTAAATTGCAATTGTAATTCAAATCTTAAATATTGTGAAAAATTAACAATTTGTCATGCAACTTGCTTTAATCTTGTACTCGAAATATTTACATGTAATTTTGGGTATAATATTTGATTTATTTTATTATATATTTTATTCGCAATAGATATTCGTTTATTGTCTATATATTCTTACCTCTGAATTTTCTGTCGCCTGTAGAATTTTTATTTTGAAATTTTTAATTTGGAGATTAAAGTCAACGAGAAACTTTTATTTTCCCGCCTTTGCCATTCGGTAAATTGGAACAACGTATCGTAGTACCGATATGTCTTATAGATTGACCGGATGAATAATTGATGACGAAAGTAAGCATCCGTTATTCGCACGTTCAAGTCAACGCGACGGTTGTTTAATCACGCGCGTTTCATTCATGTCGATGTCCGACTCCATTTCCATTCATCAAGACTTACTCAAATGAAGCTGTAACATACTTCAAACCACTATTTCAAAAATTGTTCGCAAACTTTAATTGTAAAAAAAAAATTATTTTTCCTAAGTACAATCACTGAACACTTGCACGATGCATTTAATAGTTCGTATACTTTGTAACAGAAAAATAGCTCGAATTCGTAATGATTACTTTTCAATTCTGATGACTATTATTCAGTTTTTAATATAAATTTATTTTTATATCTGCACTCTCTCTCTTTCTCTCTTAAAGAAATACAATTCTATGAATGAATATCACTTGTTCTTTATCAATAATTAAAAAAATTCCTGTTACGTACATGATTATTTATTTGTCCTTCAAAATCGTGTTTGATTACCGCATTGTAAGCAAATAACTTTGAGTTTGAGTTCCGACGGCGTCTGAAACCAAGTCTAAATTTTTTAATTTTTACGATTGTTCATAATAAATTATGTAATCATAATGGGGGGAATATTTCTCACATCCACAATAATCCTCCGAGAAGATTTTTCCAAAGATACCAATTATCAGTCCGTTTATTCGCCATCGAGTACACGTTCTCCAAGTGCCACTACTTAGAGTTCTTAATCTTTGCGACTATAACGACCAATAACGATAGACCACCCGTAGCGAGAGTATTGAACCCACTGTAGAAAAGGAAGAATGTATTTGTACATTCTTTTTACACATATCACCATTGGTACCAGTATAGCGGTACCAGTAAGTCCACTGCCAGATCTCTTTGAGAGAGATCACTTAGTACGAAGCGTCCGCAACCACCCCCGTTTTTACGTTGTAGAACAGTGAGTTTGTGAAGCAACCAATAAGTGATGGTGCGAACAAACAACCGATTGCATAACCGATACTGCTCGGGAAGATGTCTTTGACCGCGACGGACTATCTCACTGAGTGACCAAGTCACCAAGTTAGTAAGGTGATCACGGTCGTCGCGTTCGCGATGCAGCACCGTTCCTCCGTTGGCTTCCGTCGTTGAATTGTGGTCGTGTGGCCGTCTTGTGGTGGTACCCGGTGGCAATGCTGACGACTCCGTTGTGGATATCGGTCTATCTCTCTCTTTTTCTCGTTCTCCTCTTCTTCCATCTCTCTTCTTCTCTCCTTTTCCCTCCTTGATCTCTTGCTCGGCCTTCTCTTTTATTTCGGCAAACAGTGCGATGAGCGTGCACGGCCGCTACTCGGCGATTGGTCGTCGCGACGTACACCTCGGCTCCATTGGTTGGAAAATTAGGGGGCGGTCTTCTACCCCCTACCGACTGCGAGTTCACCCCATCCATCCGATGCCTCTAGCCCCGCGACGCTTCCTCCGTGCTTGGATTCTCACCTGGCGACCTCCGCGACAGACCGATTACCTGGATATATCGAATTTCGGCGATTCCTTTCTCGAGTCGGACTCGCGTAATTTCTTTTGTTATGTAACTGAAGTGACGAATTATGGTATTGTGCATCGGGCTTTCCCCTTGGTCTCACACTCTATTCTTGAATTATATGTTTGCTTTCTCATGTTGAATAGCCTTAATAAAACTCGTATATTTCTATAGATGTAATTATATTATCGAAATTATAGTTAAATATAAATCTATCAATTAGCAAAAAAAACTTGCTTCTTCGATATTTTGCTTGTTTTGTAAAATTTACTTTAAGTTTAAAATAAAATTTTGATGAGTGTAGACTGCACACGATAAGAAATTTGCTTATCGAAGATTTGATTTTATTTATGTCTTTGTTTCATAGCTTCCAATTTACAATATTCAGCAATTTTTGTGCAAATTTTTCGCGCAGTGGATACTGTTTTCCACTATCACGAAGCTATTGAAGAATCACGAAATACGCGTGTAACCAATAAACACCGGAAATGGAACGTGTCAACGTTACCGTACACCGTGTTGTGATTCCACGCGACGCTATCGCACCTTGTGTTTGATTAATTTCACAACAACTGGCAATTCACCCTTCGTCGGTAGATTCGAATCCGAAAGGAAATCCGTCATGAATTTGTTTATGAATTATTTAAACATCACGTTTTGGAGAATTTAATACGCGCAATGCGATATTAGATGTATGATAATTGAAGATATAATTTTACAATTTTTTAAGGCATAATTTGTACATCTATAATAAAATAAAAATACACACACATCTTAATATAATATTGTTAAAATATAAATTAAATATTAAACGATTGTTGTCGAGTTATATTTACTACACCATGTACATTTTTGATAATAATTTATCACACTAACTTTGTTTTAGATTTTTAAGTGATATAGATAGACATTTTCGATGTGATGGAAAAAATAATATGACGATTGAGGAAGATAGATATCACTTTTTTAGAGTGTTTACTTTTCGTGATAAGATTTTCACCCTCTCGCGAAGGTCGCCGGCTCATCTCTGGAGTCGTATTATGATACACATTTCTGCAAATATGATCCAACGACAAACGTAACTTTAGCTGCGGATCGGCCCGAATACGAACTCGTACACGCCCAAGGATCGGTTTCGTTCATTCACAACTATCGTTTGTCGTTATGTACCCCGTACACGCGTATTTTGATCGTTTACCTCTATTCCATAAATTAAATTAAATCTTACACATGTTATGATTTAATTAAATCAACTATTGTCAGATACGTTCAAGAACTTGTTGAACATAATATATACGTATATAGCACTTATGTGTATGTAAAATATTTTACTTATAAAATGTAAATAAAAATCATTCAGTAAACAGTAAATTCAGTAATCAAATTCTTTTTAAATAATTTATTTACATTTATCTACATAATAATTTTTAACTAATTTTTTATTTAACAACTATCATTTGTATTGTTTATCGTTATGTATCTTGTGCATATGTAACGATCGTTTAAACGAAATTTTATACATGTTATTATGCATGATTTAATTGACTTAACTGTCAGATATATTTTTAAGAATTCGTCGTGAAACATTATGTACATGTGTACAGCACATTATGTGACACTTGAATTTTTCTCTTAATGTGTACTAATGAGGATTTGACACTGTTTATTATACACAAAATTAGTGTCAAAAAGAGTTTTTTTGAAGTGTCTGGGGACGTTCGGCTAAGTTTTGAGCGTGTCCGAGGTGTACCCTTTTTAGTTGACACTCATTTTGACTGAGAATGGGAGAACTTGAAGTTATTAACCCCATCGCACATAAAATACATAGTAACCTAATCATTAGATCATTATTATGAATCTGTGATTAAATATTTGAAAATAATTGGTTTTATTGTATTATATTTAATTCGTTTTTTTGGTAGTATTTAATACATATTTTTATGTTCTTAGAATTTTTTAATGTAATCTGTTTCTCTTCTACTTTTAATTTTAAATACAGTACTTATTTTGTATCTTAATATAACCTAAAGTATGTCCTGTTTTTATCTTATGTTTTAGTGTCTTATTTCTGTGCGTCAAACTTGACACAGAACTGACAACTGCGTTGCCACAGGGAAATTATTATCACTTTATTCCTTGGCAAATCATATAGAGAGCGGCAAAAGACTTCTACGTAATACAACACTTGCAACAATATGTATTATGGGATATAATAATATAAATATCTCTCTTCTTTTTTTGCATAAGAAATTATTTTGCTCATAAAATTATATTGATTTTATGACATTTTAAATTTGTCTTGCTTTTACTTGATTTAATCAAAAGATTTATTATAAGCAAAGCAATAGTAACACAAATTTAGAAAGTCACGTGACGAAAATCTGGTAGTCGAAAAATCTGGCGGTGTTATATAGATCAAGAGAACCGATGCATCACTGGTAGATGAGTGAAGACGTTTTTCTTCGGCACGCCTTGCCAATCCTTTGAATCTGCTCCGCCTTTTTCAACTAATTGCCATTTGTACGTAGATCGATGTAGCGTAACATGTTTTGGACGTGTAAAGACGCTGAAATTTTAAATAAAGAATTTATTCGAAATAAACTGAGATAATTTAATTACAAAAGACAAATATTTCGTTATCTGTAATAAATCAACTAATTAAATACGTACGTCAATAATGTCTAAGACTAGGCTCTCTTCATTTTTGCTAATAATTATTTTTGGATTTGCTATTTATTTTTTAAATAAATTCTATTTGTTATTATAGTATTTTAATTAAGCTACACAACCGCAACTCTTTAATTAATTTCACTGTGCGATCAAGGAAAGAAATCAAGAAAAGGCATTTTTAGACGTATGAAGCACAAGAAAAATTATGACAATTATTCCGATTTGATTACGCTTGAGCTTATGGATTCGAGGATGACATCGTGCCGAAGCCAAGACCCAATGATAAAGGGGCGGCGCCGCGCTTTGCGATGGCGTCTCCTTCGATTTG